ATAACTGCTCTGGCGTATCAAATGTAAACAAATGACGTCATATATTAAGAAATGGACAAGGTCCGACAATTTATTTATTAAAGACATTTTTTATGTTTAACGTTGTTATTTATAGATACAAGTATTTAAGGTTCTTTGTGGCCCAGAGGTAAGGCACGTCAGCGTAAATGATGGTTCCGTATAGGATGCAGGTTCGAATCCTGTCAAAGAACGAGTATTTTCTATGAAAATTTCTTGGACATTCAGGCCGGTAAATGTTATTTAATACTGTTTATCATAAACAGAGCATTTGCTTAAATACTTGTATCTATAAATAACAACGTTAAACATAAAAAAATGTCTCTAATAATATATAGTGAGGAATAGGGTGAATAAAAATGACAATGACGCGTTTCGTCCAATGTGGAAGTCCACATTGGACGAAACGCGTCACCAATTACCAGTTTTCCCATTGTCATTTTTATCATAAATATTGTCTTCTACTGGTTGAATCAGAGAATTTTTCATATATATATATATATATATATATATATATATATATATATATATATATATATATATCCTAAGGAACCAGGCAGACCTACCTAGTTTTCACCTAAACGGATCTTCAAGGTAAAGTTTACCCTGAAGATCGGTTTACATGAAACCTAGGTAGGTTTGCCTGGCTCCTTAGGATTTATTTTAGTTTATCGCTCTACTTACCGTATTGAGCATTCTACTTTTTAGGCTTTCAAATCGTTTGTGGTTTTTTTTTTCTGTGGAATAACGACTTACAGCACTTGACGATTTCTTTCGCCTTGTTCTGATCTTTTTCGTTCTTTCTTTTTTTATTTTGCGATTTTTTCCTCGGGTACCGATTTGTCCTAACATATCTGCAAGTTGAGCTATCCGAGGTTTTCCAAACGAGTACTACAAATATATATATATATATATATATATATATATATATATATATATATATATATATATATATATATTAGTGCGTGTGTGTGGGTGGGGTGCTTGTAGATAAGTTTATGTATATATGTCTGTATTTTTGACATAATGTCCCGGTGTGTTCGCGTGTGTATATAGCTGTTGACGTTATTATGTTAATTCCGACCAATTTCCTTTGATGTGATTTCAAGATCTCGACAAGTGATTATTCTTTTACCGTTTGATGATTTTATTCTCACCCCAAATCTTAGCAATATATTTTAATTTCAAATTACCATTTTCAATTACAATTTTAAATAAGATTTTATGAATTCTTAATCAAATCAATCACGATTCTGGTCTGTTCATCGAATTATCATTACTGAACGCTATCAATTTAGCTATCAATTTAGCGGTAAACTACTTTTGTAGATCAGAGCAGTTTTTTGTCCCCTTAAAACCACATCCACTTTTACAGTAGGAAGTTTAGGTCGAATGTTTCATGTACCCATCTACCCGCTGTTTTAATTATGTTTCATTCAGATTCTTTCAAGTACTTGCATTTTTCTTAAAACTATCTATCTATCTATATGTATATATATGCATATATATATATATATATATATATATATATATATATATATCCGTGCTTTTGTATCTATCTATCTATCTATCTATCTATCTATCTTGTTGGCATTTTCCTTAAAATTTATCTATCTATCTATCTATCTATCTATCTATCTATCTATCTATCTATCCGTGTTTTTGTATCTATCTATCTAACTATCTATCCGTGTATTCTATCTATCTATCTATCTATCTATCTATCTATCTTGTTTGCATTTTCCTTAAAAATATCTATCTATCTATCTATCTATCTATCTATCTATCTATCTATCTATCTATCAATCCGTGTTTTTCTATCTATCTATCTATCTATCTATCTATCTATCTATCTATGTTTTCTATCTATCTATCTATCTATCTATCTATCTATCTATCTATCTATCTATCTTGTTTGCATTTTCCTTAAAAATGTCTATCTATCTATCTATCTATCTATCTTGTTTGCATTTTCCTTAAAACTATCTATCTATCTATCCGTGTTTTTCTATATCTATCTCTATCATCTATCTATCTATCTTGTTTGCATTTTCCTTAAAACTATCTATCTATCTATCTATCTATCTTGTTTCCCTTTCCATTAAATCTATCTATCTATCTCTCTCTCTCTCTCTCTCTCTCTCTATATATATATATATATATATATATATATATATATATATATATATCCGGGCTTTTGTATTTATCTATCTATGTACCTGTGTTTTTCTATCTATCTATCTATCTATCTATCTATCTATCTATCTATCTATCTATGGGTGTGAACATTGTGCCATAAATGAATACCGTTGTCGAACGAACAAAATACGAAGGTTTATTTTCCAATGCTTTTCATTTCTTTTATTAAAAAAGAAAAAAATGTTTTTCTCTGCTCACTGGAAATGGATCACTGAGAAAAGGAACATGTAATATCATTTCAGCTACGATACTTTGTTTTTTAGTTTGTTTGTTTTTTTTGTTAAATATCTACCTTTCTCTTTTATTAAGTTCAGAGGGAACGAAAGGGATTGCAAAAAATAAGTTTTACCATTTCGTCATTTCATTTCACCAATCGTATATATATATATATATATATATATATATATATATATATATATATATATATATATATATATTATCATTACTGCATACTATCAATTTAGCGGTAACGTAAATTACTCTTTGTAGCTTAGAGTAGCTTTTGCCCCTTAAACCCCCCCACTTTTTACAGTAGCAGATTAGGTCGAATATTCCATGTACCCTTCCATGTATGCCTTTGCCCGCTGTCGTTCAATATGTGCCCTAGAAATTTCAGTTGTCTTTTTCCGATTCGAAGAATAAGTGTCCATTTTGTTTGCATTTTCCTAAACACCTCCTCGCTACTCACATATTCTAAAGATGGTATTCTCAGCATCTTTCTGTAGAACCACATCTTTGTCTGCCTCAAATCGTCTCTCTTTGTTTGTGAAGAAACTGTTCCGCACTCATTGCTTCAGAGGTTGACTGATGTTACATAACCATCAGGACACATGTCTTTGTTTAGTAAAATTCCCAGAACATTTCTGTAGATAAGACAAATTGGTATAAAAATGACAATAGGAAAAAAAATCTTTGTCGACGCGTTTCTTCATCCGACTTTATGAAGGCAAAAATGAAAACGAAATGTTTTTGGTATCTGTCTATATTTCTGAGATGAGGTATTATGTACACTATTTACATTATTCGGACTATTGTCCTCATCTTTTGTTGCCATATTTATTACAACGTTTCGGCCTTTCAGTATCTGTCTATATTTCTGAGATGAGGTATTATGTACACTATTTACATTATTCGGACTATTGTCCTCATCTTTGTCGCCATATTTATTACAACGTTTCGGCCTTTCAGTATCTGTCTATATTTCTGAGATGAGGTATTATGTACATTATTTACATTATTCGGACTATTGTCCTCATCTTTGTCGCCATATTTATTACAACGTTTCGACCCTTCAGTATCTGTCTATATTTCTGAGATGAGGTATTATGTACACTATTTACATTATTCGGACTATTGTTCTCATCTTTGTGGCCATATTTATTACAACGTTTCGGCCTTTCAGTATCTGTCTATATTTCTGAGATGAGGTATTATGTACACTATTTACATTATTCGGACTATTGTCCTCATCTTTGTCGCCATATTTATTACAACGTTTCGCCCCTTTAGTATCTGTCTATATTTCTGAGATGAGGTATTATGTACACTATTTACATTATTCAGACTATTGTCCTCATCTTTTGTTGCCATATTTATTACAACGTTTCGGCCCTTCAGTATCTGTCTATATTTCTGAGATGAGGTATTATGTACACTATTTACATTATTCGGACTATTGTCCTCATCTTTGTCGCCATATTTATTACAACGTTTCGGCCTTTCAGTATCTGTCTATATTTCTGAGATGAGGTATTATGTACATTATTGACATTATTCGGACTATTGTCCTCATCTTTGTCGCCATATTTCTTACAACGTTTCGGCCCTTCAGTATCTGTCTATATTTCTAAGATGAGGTATTATGCATACTATTTACATTATTCGGACTATTGTCCTCATCTTTGTTTCCATATTCACCGCAAGGACATATGGCACAGTGGATAAAGCTGTTAGTTAGATTCAGTGACAGGACCCAAAGAGTGTGAGTTCAATGCACAGTTAAGTCAGTGGAGAACTTGGAGAGGGAAATAACAGATAACTGATAACTGACATCCACTAAACATGGCACGTGGAACTAGAATAGTCTACGCCAGTGGGCGAAATAAAGGGTTTCTGTTCGACATTACAACCACCTGAAGAAGGCCGGAGCGTACAACGGCCGAAACAATAGTCCGAATAATGTAACTACTATGTACCTATCCTTTTTTTCGCTTTTCTCCTTTATACAGTTTATATATTCCCGATTTATTTTCTTTTAAATCTATCTATCTATCTATCTATCTATCTATCTATCTATCTATCTATCTATCTATCTAAACTTTGCTTATGATCTATCTATGTAACTATCTATCTTTGCTTATGCTCAATCTATCTATGTATATCTATCTACCTTTGCTTATGATCTATCTATCTATCTATCTATCTATCTATCTATCTATCTATCTATCTATGTATCTATCTATCTATCTTTGCTTATGATCTATCTATCTATCTATCTTTACTCATGCTCAATCTACCTATCTATTTATCTTTACTTATGCTCAATCTATCTATCTTTGCTTATGCACACTCTATCTATCTATCTATCTATCTATCTATCTATCTATCTATCTATCTATCTATCTATCTATCTATCTATCTTTGCTTATGATCTATCTATCTATCTATCTATCTATCTATCTATCTATCTTTACTTATGCTCAATCTATCTATCTATGTATCTTTGCTTATGCACACTCTATCTATCTATCTATCTATCTATCTATCTATCTATCTATCTATCTATCTATCTATCTATCTATCTCTGCTTATGCTCAATCTATCTATCTATCTATCTATCTATCTATCTATCTATCTATCTATCTATCTATCTCTGCTTATGCACATTCTATCTATCTATCTATCTATCTATCTATCTATCTATCTATCTATCTATCCGAATAATGTAAATAATGGAAATGTTTTGTTTTCATAGTTACATTAAACCGAAACGTTGTGAATATAGCAATGAAGATTAAGATAACTGCCCGAATAATGCAGATAATTCAAACGCTTCACAGATATCTGAGATGAGGTATTATGATTACTTGCATTTATTTACGGACTGTTATCCTCATCTTCATTGCCATATTCACAACGTTTCGAATGTTGTACGCTCCGGCCTTTTATCTGGTGATTGGAATTCCGGATCTTGTTTCCATTTCCATTAAAACTACCTATATATATATGTGTGTGTGTGTGTGTGTGTGTGTGTGCATGTATATATATATATATATTGGATAAAGACTTTGGTTAGGTCCAATAACTAGACCTAAAGAGCTGTGAGTTCAATGCCGGACTACAGCAGAGGTGAACGAAAACTTGGAGCGTTGAGTTAAAGGGAAATTACTGAGAAATCCGGAAGAGGCATGGCATGTGGAACTAGAACAATCTACTTCGGAGGACGAAATAAACGGTTAGTTTCAAAATTCCAAACACCTAAAAAGGCCTGTGCCTACAACCGTCGGAATGTTGTGAATATTTCAATGAAGATGAGGATAAAAGTCCGAATAATGTAATCAATGCAAGTAATCATAATAGCTCATTTTAGAGACATATATATATATATATAGAGAGAGAGAGAGAAAGAGAGAGAGACATAGACATAAAGACCGGAGCGTACAACAGCCGAAACGTTCTGAATATGGCAATGAAGATGAGTATAACAGTCCGAATAATGTAAATAATGTAAGTAATCATAATAGCTCATTTCAGAGACACGTATATATATATATATATAAAATAGATAGATAGATAGATAGATAGATAGATAGATAGATAGATAGATAGATAGACATAAAGGCCGGGGCATATAATCATCGAATCGTTGTGAATAGGGCAATAAAGATGAGGATAACAGTCCGAATAATGTAATTAATGCAATTAATCATCATAGCTCATCTCAGAGACATAGATATATATATAGAGAGAGAGAGACATAGACATAAAGGCCGGGGCATATGACGATCGAAACGTTGTGAAGATGGCAATGAAGATGAGGATAACAGTTCGAATAATGTAAATAATTCAAACGCTTCACAGATATTTAAATGTTTTACTTGTTCCATTGGTGTCTCCAATTTGTGATAAACAGCAGCTATAAGCTGAAAGATTATCTGTCAAAGGGCATCCCTAATGAGAACGCCTTATAGAAGGATTAGGAACAATTTAAGCCCGTTTTGACGTCTGACTTCAAGAAATACTTCCCAAGACATTACGGGCAGCATAAACAGATTTTTTCCCACATACTTGTCTCATTAATTCTCCTGATCTAAACCGATAAAGCCTTACGGCATTCCGTCTAAGAGTTATTTTCCGTAAATATTTGCACAAGATATTTTTAATGGATTGCATCTTCTTTGATTACCATTCAAAACAATAACGTTTCAGAATAATCGTAAGTGGAGATATTAATTCTTTTTTTTTTTTTGTTTTCGGAACGGATGTTAATGTCTGCCAACGCAACAATGTTTTTATGAAGATATACGCTACATCTCACTAAGTTTTGGACAAGGTAGCTTTAGAAAAAGGCTTTATAAAAACCGTTACTACCAACTGAAGAAAGGCAATGCACGAAACAAAAACATCGAAGAGATGAAGAGAGTCCAAAGAAAAGCCAGAGATCTCCATTCCTTGAACCGTCCTAACACACTCTGGCTTTTCAGATAAAACATGGCACTCATTTAACACAGAATGAAATGTCGATGAGTACCCAAATAATCAACAACGAGTCCCGCCAACGACGACAACGACTATTGTGGAGTATTTGAATACTCTAGAAAAAAAAAATTTCTTCAATATTTAGCTCGTATTTGACAAGAGAACACGGGGAGCCCTACAACGTCGATTCAAGGATCAGCTCAAAAAT